CGAACGTCGTGTTCACAAGATAATTAATCCACCAGATAATTCAGAGGCAGTCTGTTTGGTAAATTTTACTCCAGGAGCTGCGAGGCTTGTTTTCAAGCTTCAGACTGAACTGAAGCAGCGGCTGCTGACATCATTACGCTCTTGCGCGATGCTGCGTTCAGGACAAGCATGAAAAACTCACTACTCTTATGTCAATACAGTCGTAATGATGCATTTAGGTACCGAAATGGAATTACATGAACATTCACGTGGTGGTTATGTAATACAGTGAATCGATAATAAAAAAATCTGCGTCGACAAATTTACATAATCGACTTCATCGATTATTTCAACTAATCGGTAGTGTGTATGTTTGTGTGTATGTGTTTAAAATGTATGTGAATACTTTTTAAATGCTATAAATATCAGCATTTCTTTGCCCAGCATATTATTGTTCAGGGAATTTTAACATTTTTTTGTGAGAATTGTTGTTTTGTTTCACTAAAACCTGTCATTTAAATTGATAGACAATAGGTTCAAGCCTAGAGTTTTGTTTTCTAAATAAAAAATGCTTAAAATCCATTATTAAAGGATAATCTGAGTATTTTTAAAGTAATGTTGCAACATGGTTATCAATAGTCAGTACATCAGCTGTGATAGAAGACCAAGTATGCAAAAAGAAGCAAAAGTCTCTGTTCAGGCTAATGGATAGTAAAACGAGTTCCATTTTTTTTTTCCAACATACAGTATAGAACATTTTCTCAAAAACTGGTGTAAAAGAATGCTACACACATTAGCTATTACTAAAACCTCTGCACTTTTGCAAGACATTGCTTGTTTATTTTGTCTCTGTTTTCTCATTTGAATAATGTCCACGTTAGTTAGCAAATGTGAGTAACTAAAGATAGATTGACTGTATATGCTGAGGCTGCTGAATGTGTCAGTCCACCAGAAGTTGAGTAAACCTTTGAACTGATGAAACATGCTGGACAGGCAGACAGATACAATCACAGCCTCAGCGCCAGCAACATAAACATGGTCTATGCTCAGCACACACACTTTGCATTGTGACACGGGCACTGTTCAGTTCAGAAGATCCTGACAAACTAAAATGTGTCATGCAAAAGTGTAGAGGTTTAATGTTTGCTAATGCAGCGTTTCTTCACACCAATTTTGAAATAAGTTGTTTATAAGCCTGAGTAATGATGAACTAATATAGCACTAACTATAACTATTAGACAAAACAAATTTTAAAATGACAAGAGTATCCCTTAATGGAAGAATGTTTTGCATCAACCTCAGGAATCATGCATCTGAGAAACATGACATTTGTTTAAAGCTGCCCGAGGGTGCCGCCTTAATTCTTCATACAGTACATCCTGCTATTTGATATATAATACTTCATTTTTGTATTAATGCTGATGTGTAAAAGCTGTATGTTTTTTTTTGCTGAAACCCACAATAATACAACTTGAAACTTTGTTCCCACCTGTCTGTTAGCAATTAACAGACCAGTGGTCTCATTTATAAAGGATTGCGTGGAAACCATACTAAAAGTGAACGTACGGCCAAAAGGCGGAAATGGCGTACGCCAAAAACAAATCCAGATTTATAAAACAGTGCGTACGCACGTTTCTGCGCACCTTTCCTTTATAAATCACAGCCGCACGTCAGAGTTTGTGCATGAGGTCCCGCCTCAGGTTCTACCCTCTACACGCCCACATTCAACCATAAACAGTCAATGCAAAGTACCTCATGAATGTTAAGATATATTTAAATCAGTCAGCTGATCAATGCCAACAAAAGTGATTGGTTCAGACACGCTCCTTCGTGCGTCTGGAGGATGACAGGTGCTGACTGACAGCTGCTCACGTTAACAGAATGTCTGTAATTAACACAGATTTTCCATCATTTTGCTTTAGAGTATTCTAAGGATTTTTATAAAAATC